GGAAGGACCCTAGGAGCCCAAATTCTTCATTTTATAAAAACTAGAGACTAGAGTCACTTCATTCATTCATTCAGCAGATATGGCGGAGGCCTCCGCTGTGTGAGGTCACGCGGGGTGAACTGGCCGCCCAGTCCTTGCCCTCCTGGTGTACCCATCTGGACAGTGGGAAGCACCATATTGACCCCTGCCTCCTGGAAGGGGCTATTATGAATCTCCCCAGGAAGAGTTTTTGATGTTAAGATGAGGAGTTGAGACAGAGAGAAGCAAGGCGCCGCGGCTGGATCACATTCCCGTTACATCCAACTTGGAGAACAAGAGGGAGCCGTGCTCCGGACCTGGCCTCTCCTTGTCCCTGGGCTAGAGAAGGGACCCGACGGTCCCGCGAGGGGCAGGGTCGTCTGTCCGCCAATGGCCTCGCCCCAGGCCTAGCCCCGCCCCCCTCACCAGAGGCCAGGACTACCCCAATCTCCCCCTCACCCGGGTGGCAAAGGGATCCCGGGAGGGCGCCCGCCAGGCCATGCCCATCACCGTAGATGTGGGGACACCCCAGGACCCCAGCCCGGCGTCCAGGAGGTTCTGGGACAGGGCGCGCGCCCCAGGGTTAACGCTGCGTCCCAGGCGGCGCAGAGAGGACTCATGCTTGGCCCTCTGCGGCGGCTCTGCGTGGGGTTTCCTTCCCACTTGACAGACGGGAAAATCCAGGCGCAGAGAGGGGAAAGGGTCTGCCTCATGTCACACCTCTGTCTCGATAAGAACTGACGGAGGGGACGGGAAGGAGGCGGTGGAGGTTGGGGGGCTGCTCTGTTCTCTGTGTGCGCGCCAGTGAAACAGGGGCGCGCCGGTGGCGGGCCCGATGTCCGAAGTAACAGTCCCGAGGGCTGTAAGCTGAACCCCGCAGAGCGCCTGGTTCCGAGGAATGTTTGGGGAGGCTTTCGGGGAGGGGCCCCGGTGGGGCGCCCCGGCTGTGCGAGCCCTGCGGCGCCCCCTCCCTCCCGTAGCCGCGGCCGCGCTCCTCCCCCGGCTCTGCCTCCCTCCTGCCCGCCCTCTTCCCTCGCTCCCTCCCGCCCGAGCCCGCGCGGAGCCCGAGCCGCAGCCAGAGCGCGGGCAGCGCGGAGCCGGCGGCGGGAAGACCTCGGTGTCGGCTAGGCCCGGGAACCGCACTCCCGCCGGGCCGGGGAGAGGCTGGGGACCGGGCGCAGGCGAGGACACACCGCCCGGCCCGCGGGGACACCCAGGGCGCGGACGGGCCGGCTCAGGTCCGAGGGGAGCCCCGGCGGGGGACGCGCCCACCGGAGGTGCAGCCCCCAGAGCTCTCGGCCGAGCCCACCCGGGTCTGGGGTCCTCGGAGGAGGCTGACGGCCGAGGAGGCGTCCGCCGGGAGCCAGCGCCCGGGCGACGGGGCCAGCGCGATCCCTGAGGGCGCGGAGGAGCCGG